GCCTTCTTCGAGAGCAAGAGTAAGAGCCGACCAGACCAGAAGTGGTACGTGAACACCGCATGGCTGTAAAGGGTTAAGCTACTGACCATTGATGTGTATGTGAAAAAACTGTATTTAAGCTCTGAGCACTGAGGAGTTCCTCAGTGCAATTCTGAATGTAACCCTTTGTTCTGCACTCATTGCTGCAAGTAAAACTTTTAAAACTTTGAGATCTCGTATTTGATTCTTTATTTGATCAGATCTTTATTTGATCTTTATTCGAAATTCTTTGTGTGTTGGGAAACTGGGGTATGAACTAACAGCATTTTAACTAACAGTCCTATCCAATGGAGGAAGTTTCCTGACATTAGAAATATACCTGTTGTTTTAATAAAACCTTTCTTTTTCAAAAGGAATGTTCAGAATTGCATTTCTGTTTTGTGTCAGTGTGAATTTGCAGTGGTCAGAACTCTGATATCAGAAGGAGCACACACGACAAGTCTTTAACTGCTCCCTATGGAGGAAAGACACGAGAGAGCAGTGTAAATAGAAGTTCACTACAGTCCAACACCACATGGATTCAAACATGCATTCATCCGTTTCCCACACAAAAGACAGAAAAAGACGAGAAATAAAGTCTTGTGCACCTTGGACAACAAAATAACTACAAATCAAACGTTCCATTTCCTGTATGTGTGTTGTCATTACATGGTCACACTGTAACATTTGTGCTATATCAAACGCGGTGTCATAGCACAGTGACCACATCGTAACGTGGGATGTACCTGTGTGAGAAGGCCAGCGCATTCTGCGAGGGCTCTGGACGGGCATCGGAGTTGGGAGTGCTGTCACAGATTTCATCTGTTCCATTGATGTTTTCCATGGGTGGAGTCACTGGTGTCAAAGGTGACGATAGCTCCCCTGCTGGAGACTCCTGCAGATGACACAAAGGTCTCCAGATAATTCTGTCCATTTCCTACAGCTAAAGCACATGTGGATTGGGTCAACTGGATGACATATTACTTTATGGAGTCTTTTCTATGTAACATAATCAATTTCTTTATTCCCATATCAGTTATAGAGAACTATAATTATATTTTATTTACTGATTAACCTTTGATCACAAGTCAAAGCGGACCAGATCAAGCCCCCAAGCCACATCGTTGTCAGCATTAATCAAAATTGACTATAGGTTTTTTTTTGTGAGCATGGGTCAATTGTTTATGATGATTATAAAACAGTTAGAAAAAACACTTGATGGTTACATAAATGAATCAATGGAGTGGGGGTGAGTAATGTTATGTTTATATTCCAATATTCAGTACATTTTTGACATTTCTTTTTCGTATTGAATTTAAACCAGCAAAAATTGATTGAGTGTGACAGAGATGGAAAACTTTAATTCACATTTTGTTCACGTTTCAATTATTTCTAGTGTGTGTGTATGTGTGTGAATGTGTGTGTGTGTGTGTTCAAGATGTGGTGAGCTCTAATTTTCTTGGTGTGAAAATGAATGCATACATCATCTCGGCGAGTGGTTCCACATGCCTATAGGCCATTAAACAGCTTACTCTAACGCTGGAGAATTGCAAAATTACAGATTAATGCTTATGTTTATATTCCATACAAGCCTATAATTATAGGAGAGACAAATCGTTTAGCTTCTGCATGTACATAAAACAAAGCTGTTAAGACCTGAAGTATGAGCACAATATAGCAACACAATGTCACAGCCTGTACATCTCTAACCCTTGTAAGATCCTTCAAAGAAACAAAATGTCTTTGTGTCTGTGTGTGTGTGTGCGTGTGTGCCAACTTTTCCTCATATTCATTAATACTCATATTCTGGGACAAGATGAAAATCATTGCAAGGACAAACAGTGTGTACAAAAATGCAAAGGGAAAAACCGCACAAGGGCTAATGGACAGGCAGGAATTGAGTGATAAGTGGAAGACTCGATGCTACATTTTCACTCCTCATTCATTAATATATCATTTAATATCTGTTCCTGACACTTTCTCAGTGGGGTCAAGAATACTGGGACCAACACTCAGTACTTACACTAGCTCTGGGTTTATTAGTAAAACTCTGCTCGTATGTTGTATCTCCTGTTGGGGATTAATTAGGAGATTAGAAAGAAACCTGACAAGCATGTTGATAGGACGTCAACTTGTGCCGACAGCTTTAATTTTGATGGATGTTATAAGCCAAAATGCTTTTCAGATGTGTTAATAGTCAAGACTTCTATCATACAGGAGCAGCATGACCAATTCAACGTCTCCCGTTCCTCCATCCTGACACTGGCCACTGTACATGTGGCCTTTAACCCCTGGTGAGAGCCAAGCTGTCAACGTCCCTTCATTAAAAACATGCTCATGAGGGGAACACAAGGGACTGTAACATTTCAGCCTATGTGGTTCTCTGCATCAATAGTGGGGGTAATAGAGCAGGTTACAGCAGGGTGTTAGCCTCCATAAGAAACAGGCGAGGACATGGAGCCTGTTAGCAGTCTTTAAATTAAAGGAGAGAAATCTCATATAAACAGAAAAACACAGAATTGTTGACATTTTTGCAGATGTATTAAAAGAACTGAAATATCACATGGTCATAAGTATTCAGACCCTTTGCTGTGACACTCATATTTAACTCGCACGCTGTCCATTTCTTCTGATCATCCTTGAGATGGTTCTACACCTTCATTGGAGTCCAGCTGGGTTTGATTATACTGATTGGACTTGATTGGGAAAACCACACATCTGTCTATATTAGACCTTACCGCTCACAGTGCATTTCAGAGCAAATGAGAATCATGAGGTCAATGAAGAGATAAGAGACAGAATTGTGGCAAGGCACAGATCTGGCCATAGTTACAAAAAAAAATTCTGCTGCACTTAAGGTTCCTAAGAGCACAGTGGCCTCCATAATCCTTAAATGGAAGACGTTTGGGATGAGCAGAACCCTTCCTAGAGCTGGTCGTTTGGCCAAACTGAGCAATCGGGTGAGAAGAGCCTTGGTGAGAGAGGTAATACAGTGTTTGCTTTGTGATATACAGATGTTAATAGAGACTCCAAACCACATAGAATTGTAAATCCAGATGTCTTTGTGATGCTTAGAGGTTCAGCTCCTTGGGGTGCCCCACCTCCCACGTCAAGAAGACCAGGTCCTTTTGTCATTTAACTTGATCATGTCTAGACCTTCTGGCCCAACCCAAATACGGGACCTTGCAGAGTGTCTCAGGTGTAGGACGCACAATGGGGGGTCGGTGCCAAATGTCCTGCAACAGACAAACCGGTTTGAACCCACATCCTAGTTCAGCACTGACCCCAACAAAGAAATCCATTGGGTATAATTGTACAGGATTCCCCATGCTCTGGGTCCTTCTTCACTCAAGCTACTTGGATGACGATTGACCTTTTCCTTGCAACAAAAATAAAACACCTTGTCGGCCGGCATAAGTTTAGGAGGAGCAGAAATTTCCACAACAGATGCAGTCGGGAGATGGGAGAAAGTTGTAGAAAGTCCACCATCACTGCAGCCCTCCACCAGTCTGGGCTTTATGGCAGAGTGGTCCGACGGAAGCCTCTCCTCAGTGCAAGACACATGAAAGCTTACACGGAGTTTGCTAAAAACACCTGAAGGACTCCAAGATGGTGATCGCCAAGATTCTCTGGTGAGACCAAGATAGAACTTTTTGGCCTTAATTCTAAGTGGTATGTGTGGAGAAAACCAGGCACGGCTCATCACCTGTCCAATACAGTCCCAACAGTGAAGCATGGTGGAAGCAGCATCATGCTGTGGGGGTGTTTTTCAGCTGCAGGGACAGGACAACTGGTTGCAATCTAAGGAAAGATGAATGCGGCCAAATACAGGGATATCCTGGACAAAAACCTTCTCCAGAGTGCTTAGGACCTCAGACTGGGCCAACTTCCAACAAGACAATGAGCCTAAGCACACAGCTAAAATAACAACTCCGTGGCTGTTCTTGAGTGGCCCAGCCAGAGCCCTGACTTAAACCCAATTGAGTATGTCTGGAGAGATCTGAAAATGGCTGTCCACCAACATTCGCCATCCAACCTGACAGAACTGGAGAGGATCTGCAAAGAGGAATGGCAGAGGATCCCCAAATCCAGGTGTGAAAAACTTGTTGCATCATTCCCAAGAAGACTCATGTCTGTACTAGCTCAAAAGGGTGCTTCTACTAAATACTGAGCAAAGGGTCTGAACACTTATGACCATGTGATATTTCAGTTTTTCTTTTTTAATACATCTGCCAAAATGTCAACAATTCTGAAAAGAATGATTAACAGTATCCTACTTAGGTGAAATGTGTGTGAGTACTGATACTGTATCTATGCCCTGAAGGCAGCAGAACTACAGTAGATGTTCATGCATTGTGTGTGTGAAGTCATGTTCTATAAAAAAGTGAGATGGTTCTTCTGTTCAGTGAGGTGGGGTGTTTGAGAACCTATTATTTAGCTTTATTTACATTATTATCAAAGAATCCAGAGTAAACTGGTGCATGTTTTTGAAGTACACTTCCTCTAACAGCCATTTAAACCCTGGTTGAAAGTGGATTTGAACTAAAGACCTACTGTGTGGAACTCCAAATGAGGTACTTGCATCACATGGTTAATTTAAATGTGCCTGTCAATACATATTGACCCAGTCTGGCCAACAGCCCGGTGCCACTTTCTTTCCCATTCCCTTTGCAAGTGAGTTATGTCCACCTGATCTGCCAGAGGGGCCTTGAGCCTGTTCTGTTTTGTTCTGTTCTGTTCTGGCAGTAGATGTTTAAAAATGTTTGGTTTGAAAACCTTTATTCTTGTTATTTTTATATATGTTATGATTTGTGTGTAAAAACTGTCCATAATGTTGTGTAGTGACAAACATTTACAGCAACGTCTGAACCCGAGTTTGTCAAAGGAAAACATGAGCCAGTCTTTCAGACCAGCACTGACTTGGAGCTGACATTTGACCTGGTCCCAGTGACCAATGAGCATGTGGCCTGAAATAACTGATCATTAACATCTCAAGCGGCTGCAAAAAGTGAGGTGGACAAACGCTGGGCATGACATCACAGAATAATATTTATATCTACAACAATATATTTTATGTAAAGCAAACGTTCTGTCCTGTGAGGTTTCTTCTTGTGACTTCTACTAGAAAATCTTCAAGGATCTTCACAAACAAACTCTGAAAAAAACAGCTATTAAAGCTAGGGATGCTTTGGGCTAGTGTCAGTTCAGAAACATATCACAAATTGGCATAAGTTTTCTTGTTTTCTTTCTCAACTTTTTCTTTGGCTTAACCAAAGAAATTGGGATTAAAATGTTATAAATTCAAGCCACGGGCACTGGCAATAGAAGCATTAAAATTGACTTTATTTTGGTCAGACCATTAGAGTAAATAGTGACAATTGGGATTTTATCAACTGTGTGCTAGATGGAAATGGAGATATAGAGAAAATAGGTTTCAAGAATAATGAGCCAACATATAAAAGAAAAAGGAATAAAGCAGTGAATGTACCTGAGAGGGAGACGTTGCCATCTCCATCTTCTCTTGACTTTTCTCTTTAGCGAGCCGTGCTGCTTCTTTATACTCTGCAAACTTCTCTGCAAACTGTACAAAAACAAGAACAGCCATCAGATTATTATTCATACTGTAATCTCTTTCATACACACACACATTCACATAAGCATTGTAACAAACAATAACCTATAGTTGAACTGTTGGCTCCTACCCATCATACTTCAGGAGAAACCTGATCTAAGTAGGTCATAGTAAGAAACATTTTTATGGCAGATTCACACACACCTTACACACAAACACACACACCAGTGATACATTTTGTGTGAATAAAGATTTCAATAATAAATGTGTTTTATGAGGTCTACATCACACTTGGAACAAACACCAACGTGTTTTCGTCATTGACTCTGAAGCTGTTGGTGGCTGAAGTTGATCTCAGGTTATTTTGGTTGTGAGCAGCTCCAGCCAGTTGGAGGTAAGGTGAGCTCAGCTGTGGGGCTTGGGGCAAATATATACACACACGTTTGACATCCCTGTAAAGTGGTGGTGTTTCATCCGTAACGCTGCTCTCACAGTTTTACATGCAGTAATGCACAGGTTTTAATGGTGAGGAAATTTAATTACCTACTCTGCTGCTGGAGCCTATGCTGTATCTGACTGTATTTTGTTGAAAGAACTCTATATTATTCCACTTCACTGGTGGGGTTAAATTATTTAAAATTAAATAAAGATATAAATTAATATTAACATTCTCTCTTTTAAAGAATGTTGCTTCCATATTATGTAGACACAGGTTTTGGTTTTATACTTCACCTTTTTAATATAAAATTACATTTTTTGTTACTCTGTACTACACAGTTTGATTTATTTAATCTTTTACTTCATCTTTATTCACCTAGAAAGTCCTAAAGTCACCTGGTCAAGACCCTAAAAGAAGAACAGAATTACCCTAACCCTAACTCTAACCCAAAAACGTCAATTTACGATGACCTAGTTATGGAAACCAGAGATATAAAATGGAGAAAAAGGAAAATCAGTGAGAATCAGTCTGAACGTTTGCAGACATTCATCTACCATCCAGTTGGATAAGATGTATTGTTTCTTTATAATATGTATACTATTTCAGGAATGGATTCTGGTTCATTGTACATTAGACAGTACTACACCAATGACAGTGGTAGTTTTTGAGCCGTACCTTGGCTAGATGATGTTCAGTGGAGAATCCCAGGCCGTAGACAGTGTTGGCTCGACTGTCGGCCCACTGGCCAAACTTTTGCGAAGTCTTTGTGAAGGTCATGTTGGGACTGATGGTGCTGTTGATTATTGCCTTACAAACAGAACCAGTCAATTTTTTTGTGTTTAATGACATTCAACAAAGTGTGTGTGTGATAGTCAGATGTATACTCCTGCCTCTAAAACAAGAACAAGGATTTTCATATATGAAATATTCCTGACAATTATATGCTAACCCTGTAAAGCCCAAACCATTAAATAATTGACAGAAAATTCCAATTCTTTGAACTTGGACCCTTTATTGGTCTCTCAAACAAACTAAAAAAAAAATTAATATAATTTTTCATGTCCATCCATCCATTGTCATCCGCTTATCCGTTACCAGGTCGCAGGGGCAGCAGTCACCACCCAAATCACATTGCACCGTAACCAACCCCCCTAAACCTTCCTGCGGGTGGTGAGTCCACTGGAAGGTACCAACCACTCTAACCGGGATTTGAACTTGCCCAGGAGGTGAAACCTCCACACCAATGACAGAGACACATTTGTATCATATTTGATACATTGGGTCACAATGCTCAAAGATTCTTTTTTCCTGAACAAACAAAAACATAATAAAACACAAACAAATCTAACAAATTCCAAAAATAATTCCAAATATAAAAAGTCCTACCATAATGCAGTAATCTTAACCTTTTCAAACTTCGCAAAGTTCTTCTTAAAAAACCACCTGTGTCCAAATCCTGAGTCAAGGCAATCTTGTAGTGTCACTGGAAGGCCCGCTAATAGAGTGAATAACTATCCCCTGTTGAATTATCTGTGCACTACATGTATGTGATTGTATACATCTGGTTTTTCAGGGAAAAAAATATCACACTGCTCATGTGGAGGGCTGTAAAACCCATGTATCAAATATGATACGTTTGGCGTTATAGGGCTAAAGAACCCTTAAAAATAGAACATACTGTGTGGGTTTACATGCATATGTGAATGACAGGTCATGCCCAAAAGCAAACGGACAAAGTAGGTTTTTTGAAGACATTTCACCTCATCCAAGAGGCTTGCCTTCGATGTAACTATTTTTGGATTAAGTGACCTGGATGACTGAGAACTTACACAGACATTGTTATCTGTAACTGTTCTCAGGAGTGAGTGAGTGAATGAATTTTATAGCCATCATTTTAGTAGGAAGTTCATGTGTGTTAACAGTGTTAAGAGTGGGTTATGACTCCACAACCCACAAAACACACAAAGGTCAGGTTTTGCGGGCCACAGAGGTTTTACAGCACCATATTTACCTAATCATATCTATTATTGTGATACATAGTCATTATTTATCAATATATTCACATCTGTTGAAATCTCTCAATTTGATATTCAAATAAAAACAATACAGATTAGATGTCGCTATGTCATCTAGATAATGAGTATAACTGTGAGCGGAACATGCGACCAATTCTCTTTATTTTCCCTAAATAAATCCTAGAATAAAATGGTAAATCTTTCAGTTAAATCGATGGTTATTGTGTTATATTTCAATGTATTTCAGTGTAGTATATTTCAGTGTTCAGTAGTTTAAAAAACATATCACTGTGTGTTGCAATGCACAATGATTTATGTTGTACTCATAATTTATCTGACAGTACCTTTAAGCTTTCATTTGGGAGCAGCAGGGCTGGTACTGCTCTGATTTAGTGTTAGTGTTAGTAAGATAATAATAGCGATAAGTGCTAGCTGATGCTAAAGTAGCTAATGCGCTAAGCAGACACTACTGCAGTAATTGTTTGAATTACCGCCCTTTGTTGGCGAAACTGCAGAACACATAAAAGACATTACATGTTATGGTTGGGCAGAACTTCAGAGATTTCAACTTTCCCTGGTGGACAGGTAACAACATGCTGTGCAGTGGCATCCTAATTTAAACCTTTCTGTGCATTTTAAAATAAAAATAAATCAATACAAAGTCTGCAGTAAAGAAGGAAAGGACAAATATGTTGACCAATGACAACCTGAACCAGCATCTCACCTTGGTGCCATCCAGGCTGATGATACGGTAGACGTTGCGTGTGCTGTCGTAGAAGTAGGAAACAGTGACGGCATGCTTGCTGGTGGGCAACCAGTTCTTCTTAGTGTTGGGGTCAATCTGGAAGACATGGGCCCGTGTGCTGTAGATGGGCTGCTCCCTGAAGGGGACACAAAAAAAGTGATGAACATCTTTCTGCCACAACACCAACGTGTCACTAAAGCCACCAGCATCCAGTCTGCTGTTGTCAGAACGCCCTGGAAACCGGATTTCCAAATCGCCAGGTAGAGGACTCTTTAAAGTTTTAGTGGAACTTCTCATAGTCCTGTGCAGAGACAATTTTTACTGTAATACACACAGAGGTGTGCAGTTATTCCACAGGAAGTCTTTTCTGCCTTACTGTCTTTGTTCAGCAGACTCCTCTCACTTTATCTGTCTCTGTGCTCTGATATGGGAATGCCTGCAGCTCTGAGTGAGGGTCACACACGGGAGCACAGGGGGAGAAGCAGTGGGTTTAAGGCTAAATATAGACAGTAGGCCATGGTTAACTACCACAGACAGCGGTTTCCACACACACACACACGCACACACACATACAAAGTGATGGAACATACAGTGGGTGGATTTAAGACTGTTTGGCTTAAACTGGAATATGATCAAGATTTTATGACAGATTAGAATCATATGAGTTAATGCCATGCTGACCTTCATGTGGCAGTCGAAGGCAAAGTATGTTGGAAAAATGTGTGTGTTCATGAACCCAGAGTATATGGTTCTCTCACTCTCTCCTGCAGGAGGTGCTTTGAACATAGGTTGAATTCCCTGACCTTTGAAGTGAATGCACTGTGACAACATTATATTCATATATAACAAGTGATGCATTTCATTTTAAATTAATAGTTATAGTATCCATCCATCCATTTTCATCAGCTTATCCGTTACCGGGTCGCGGGGGCAGCAGTTGCCACCAAAATCACATTGCACCGTACCAACCCCCCCAAACCTTCCTGCGGGTGGTGAGTCCACTGAAAGGTATTAACCGCCCTAACCGGGATTTGACCTTGGCCAGGAGGTGAACCCTGAGGTTCCACACCAATGACAGAGACATTGCCTCTGGGCCAAAGCGCCACTAGTTTTAGTATTGCTGGACAAATACAGTTGAGCCAAACAAGAGGTGACTTTAGGTTGTGTAGGGTCACAGCACCGACACTCAGGTAACAACAAAATTGACATTAAGGGTGTGTGTGTTTTCAACATTATTCCACACATCAATAGTGTTGTACAACTACTCTTTATCTATCCATACCATTCATATGTCCAAATGGAAATTTGGGGTATTTTAAAAGTTGTTTTTTTTTTTTGAGGGGGGGGGTGTATCTACAGTACACACACATACACACACGCACAGAAAGCACAGGGTGTAGAGGGAGATATTCTGGGCTGGCAGTACTAGCAGAGAAGGAGCTAGAGAAGTGCTTACACTGCACTGAGGGGGTGATTGGGGACATCAAAGCCTTGCTGTATAAATTAATATTAAAACTCCTCGTCTGTACCCCTCCTGTGTGTGATTAGCCAAGACTGGGAAAGAAGGGAAAAATAGGGAGATGGAAGTTTGCAGGACATATGGAAGGAATGAGAGGGGATGTGAGAAGTATAAAAAGTGAATCTAGAAAGATGAGGGTTGTTCTACAAAAAAAAAAACTGGTATGTGAATTTTCATAATCATCGACAGCAGAGTAAGTGGCAGAACTGTGAGTGATCGCAGCTCTCTGCCATCTCACACCATGGTTTGATCTGTGCAATAGTCGCTTGGCAAGTGGCTTTGGTTTTTACATTGCATAATTCGATGGATCTGTGGCAGGTTTCTAGCCTTGTGTTGCTTTATTGTGTATGGGCCAGTGTTTACTAAAAAAAAAAAAACCACAACAACTTTATAATCCTTTGATTTTTATATGTAAGACCAAAGGGGGGATATGTAGGTACTACAACAGTCCTTTCAAGGACTCAAACTCCCATAATTCCACTGCTTCCGGTAAATCCACATACGTCACGATCAGTAACCTCCGCAACCTTTAAATTGGGGGGTCAGCCCAATATCGTTCTCTCTGTTCAGGACTTTCGCTCCGTAGGACCTCGATGAAAAGAGAAAACCTGCTCGTCTCAGAAGACTAAGAACCAACGCGCTTTTGTAGACACCATTGCCCACGGTGATAAATGCACTAGTAGCGTCTTTTTCTTAACTGAGTTAACCGGTAATTAAGTTACACAAGTAACGTAGCGCTGCGACCAAAGCAGTTATTGAAAAGTTAGAAGCGACAGGATTCCTTCTAACGGTATTCGTGTGAACCGGCACATCGACAGTCAGAGACTTTTCCTCCTGAAACGGACTTTCGGAACCAAGAGGACTCTCTGGACACAGTGGAACCAGACGGACGTCCCCAGCTCTGGCAAAGACCCAAGAAGCACGGACTTTCCACTACCCTCTAAATACGAGCAGACGTTCACTACAGTAAGGCTGGCATTTGGGCATGTTAGTTAATCTGTAGTATTGTTAAGTGCTATTTAAACTTAGGGACAGTTTAGTGCGCACATTGAAGTGTTATTTAATTGTGTTGTCCGAAATCTGTGCTGCTTTAGGCTGTTGCATGGGCTATCATCTTTTTTAACCTCCTTACTCTGTGTTGTACTCTTGTACACCGTCAGTATTTCAGTGTTAACTTAACGTAACGTTATAAGTATTTGGATCAGGAAAACTCCGATCTTGAGTAGACCACGCGGTCCGCCTCCCTTCCCCCATATACTTTGATAACATCACAAGCACTGTTTCATTGTACCTGGGCGCATCTTGGTGCACGTACACAACCCCCTTTCACACCTCCGTGAGTGCATACATGCCTCACGTGTTTCCTGTTGCCGTCCCTTCTACTTTTCAGTTTTTCTTCCACTGCGCAGTCGCGTATGTGAATACGCCTCAAGGGCTCAGTCGCTTGCTTGGTAGCTAAGAGGCAACATCTCTCTCTTTCTCTCTCTTACACAACCACTCGTATACACACACACACACCTACACACACGCCTTGTTTTGTTATAATGATCAGTGTTTATGAGTTCAATCACCGTCATTAACTTGACAGTGTTGTATTAATAAATTTGATTATTTTTGTAAACTGTGTTTGTCTGTGTTGTTACTTTATTCATTGAAGCCACCCAATTTGCCAAGAACTCCAAAAATCCTTCAGATATTTAATTGTTATTAGATACTATTGATTATAGTATATTTGCAATAATTCAAGTAATACATTATTGCTATATTAGTAGAATAACATAATAATTAAAGATAACTTTAATGAGACTGATCATGTTATTAATTTGAGACTGGTTAATAACACCGAGTGCTCCCAAGCAGCACTCGACCCATTGCACCTACAGAGGCCAGTGCCAAGGAGTTGTGTTCCAAAATGACACCCACTACTTTATTGATAAAAAATAGGTATTTCTATTCCTACAAGTGAAATATTAAGGCAGTGCAATAATATAATAGAAAGGAAGGTTGGAGGGAACAACAAAAAAGAAGGCATAAGAAGGAACTTGTTAGGAGGAAATAAGGAGCGAGAAATGTTGAGTATGCAGTGTGTACTGCGTGACACAAGGGCAGGCAATGGAACGTGAATGTTAAAACAGGGAAGGAAAGCAGGGGGAGTGAGAGAGAGAGAGAGTGATGGAGTGAGAGAGGAGGAAGACATGAGAAGAAGAACATGGAGGAGGTGATGAATGTAGAAGAGGATGGAGCTTTGATAAATCCACCCATCTTCTAGTGGGAGAACATGGAGTCGGTGGGAAGTGCTAGAGGCAGGCCTTCAAAACGATTACACAAACCATGGCTGTGAAAGAGCTTTTAACGAAAAGGGAACAACATTATACTTATATGAACAAGTATAATGTTTGTTAGTTCCTCTGTAAGGACAGAAGGAATAATTAATATAATATAATATAAAGTCAGGAAATACAGTATTAACCTGAAGAGCTGATCATTTCCATCACTAAGTTTTACTGCAGATAGTGCCAATTTTGTAGAGTATGTTGCATTTATAAAAAAAAAGTACTATATACGGTAAAATACCAAGCATAAGGTCATTATTAGGAGATACACTGTGTGATGGACAGCTTGATTGCCTAATAGGAGCTTGGTGTCACAACATTAGTATAAAACTTCATGCCACTCCTGTATTTTATTAGGTATTACTCAGAGTGTCTCTGTACTTTTTTAAGGAAGGAAAGTGAACTACTTGTCATTGTGACACAGCACACCACTGCACACAACCAAATGTGACCTCTGCTTTTAACCCGTCACCAAAGTGAACAGTGGGCAGCTTTAAGTGCCCAGGGAGCAGTGAGCACCTCAGTGGTAACTTTGCAGCTGGTGGACCTGAAGCCTTCCGGACCCAAGTCCGCTCCCTAGCCACTAAGCCACCACTGCCCTCTGTCAAGGTGATCTGAACAAAAAATACTAAAAACAGCGACTAATAATATAAAAAAAAAAAAAGAAGTGCAATTTTCACGACACACGTGCGTGCACACACACAAAGGCACAAACACACTATCCCAATAAAGGCTGCACATTTTCTTCTTGGTGCGTCACTTTTAGCTATACAGCTTTTTCACTGCTTGCAAACACTGACAGTAAAAGAGAGACACAATGAATCATCTGCATCTCAGAAGATCTCACTTCCTCTCTCCATCTCCTTCTCTCCACCTTACTCCTCTTTCCCCTACTTTATATTAACCTTTCTTTATTTCCCGACTCCTTTCATAACTTAAACAGAAGAGAGAGCGTGATGTTGAGTAGACTTTATTTAAGGGAAGAGAAGTAATTAATATTACATCCCTGCTGCCCAGATCTACGGAGGAGCGTAGTTCACCTGAGATGTGCCAACAACCACACACTTCTACTCTTTCTCACACACCCACGCATAAATTACCGAGGACTAAACCCGGCAGAGAGTCCATCTGAACATTGATTGTATTTGCCCAAGGAAGTGAGAGTGCAGCAGATACAGCGTAGCTAGCCCTCTCCAGTTGGCTTGGTTTTTGAATCATGAGACTGGCAGCGACATATGACCCCTCCTGCCTGTGCGATACAGACAGGTAGACAACATATTTACGCTTATTATAAGTTTATTTTCATCCCATTTGCAGCTACTGACACTCCCGCTCTGACACACATGCTCCAATGATTCATCGATAGAGTATGCTGTAATTTCACTAATATATATATATATAGAGAGAGAGAGAGAGAGAGAGAGGAACGGCCAGGATCACACGAGAGAGTGACACTGAAATAATTTTTGGTTTAATTTAGGTGACCATGTCAAGGCTTCAAGATTGTAAATTAACAGCAGATTCATATGTATAGGCTGATAATCACTTGATTCAACATGATTCAACTTTGTCATAAAAAGTACTAAATTTACCTGAAACATTTACATACAATAGAAAGATTGGATAAAAACACAATGTTTTACCTGTGTATATACAGTCTGCAGTATGAAATGCTGCATACTCTACATTTGGATCAGCTCACATACCATAATAATGTGGGATAACTGAGTCACTGACTAAGTTGCATAACAGATAAGTTAGTCACCAGTGGAGCTGAGTCCATCTGAGTGGGAGCCTTCTGGATAATGTGTGGAGCCCACACTGGAGGAGGACAGAGTGGGCGCTTGGGAAGCCTCCAGTGCATTGTAAATACTTAATGCAGAGAGTTTTGGCTGATGCCTGGAAATCTCGCCATGCCTGTGCCATATTGTTAACCTCTTGCTGTGCAATTAATCACAATGAACTGCAGGAGACAGCTGTTAATGAACATCAGGCAGGGTGGGGGAAATGGACTGCTAAGCTCAGGGTTAGGGGACACGCAAATGAGCAGTGCTGTGTACGCGGCAGAGATCTCACCGATGGGTGTCTGACGTAGTTGAATATGTGTAAGGCATTGGTCACTTTGCTGCTATAGAGACAGCTTCCTGCTATTGGGGCCTGGTGACATCGGTCATTAACCTGTCTGTGAAGCTGAACACTTCTCCCCGTAACAGTACGCGGTACCCCCGTAACAGTACAAAAGGTCGGGGCAAGAATCTCAGTTTGAGTACATGAGAGAAGAGATGCTGATGGTACAAATGGCTTCTTTCTGAATAACATACAGTAACACTCTACAGTGTAGGTGGGGAGCAAAACAGAAAGACGGAGAGACCTAGAACAGCATCTACTTTAGCTCTCTCTTGTTTTTCTGTGGCAAAAAATAATTGTGTATTGGTGAGAGATAGACACTTGCGGGGTGAGTACATTCAAAACTGGGTAAAGTATAATTATAAACTATAGGTTTACCTTCAGTTTTTCTGTAAAGGTTGCCAGTCATTGAGGTCACTGTCATGATTACAAGTTTCAGAGAAGGTAGCTGGACTTTCTTGAGTTTCTTGACTTTCTTACATATGCACATTAATATCATACGATAATTAATACGAATTATATTCTGGTCTATTGGGTTCTATTCTATTCTGGGCTGCGTTTTTATGCATACACGTGTAGCTGAAGTTCATATGGTGAGGAGGCTGGAGGCAGTTGACATGAATACAGAGAGGGAATGAGAACAGATCCGAAGTCAGCTATTGGTTGGTAGAACAGTGGAATAATCGCACTTACCCCATTGTTGTGGTTGAAATGAACGATGGCACCTGACCACTGATCCTTATTTTCGTCTTTTCTGGCAGTCAAAAAACAAATGTGTGGGGATTCTTCTTCTCCTCTTGTCTGTGTTTATGAAGAAGGTCTTCTCTCTCTTTTTTTATCACCTTCACTGTGCGTCTTCAGGAATGTGATGACCGCTGCTGCTCCATTCCCACTCCGCTGTCACCGCATCAGTTCACACATACATGTAGCTCCGCACATGGCACAGCAATCACAGAGCCTCCGCCTCCTCTCCTGCTCTAGCGTTGGGCGTTCGGAAGTGATGGAGCAGCAGCAGATGTGTGAGAGATGCAGCTCAGAGTCAGATGGAGGTTTAAGGCTTGACCTGCTGCTGTGGGGTAAAATGACAGATCCTCGCTGGAAGGGTGAAGAAGACGCTGGAATGGGAAAGACAAGGCTCATTTAGGCTGAAGATAACGCACAGCATCACACTGTCCACCTCTCTCTCTCTCTTTCTCCCACTCTCTCGCACTCTCTGTGCATGTGTATCTCTCTCTCCCTCCCCCTCTTTCTTTCCACCCCACTGCTGTTATTTCACATTTATTCTTCACTATCACAACTGAATTTCTGACATAACGATTTTCTAACATAATCATGCAACATACTAAAAATGATCACGCTATGCTTATGCATAATAATATTTTCCCGTTTTAGATTTTTTTTACCTAAAAAGCACACATTATTATGTTGATTGTATGACTACATATCTATGCGCTGCTTTATTGATCTACAGATCATTATGCGTGTGAATGTGCGCGTGCACGCGCCCACCACCTCCACCACCCTGTATACAAAAACCAAAGCCAGTGATCTGGTCAATGCGTCCCCTCTCCTCCCACTCAGGGAGGAGAAGATGGCGGTTTGCTCTTTCGCTCACTGGCTCCGTGATTCTGTTTTCCAGGTTGGTACTCGGTCGAGAATAAGACCAATTCCCCTAAAGTGTGTAGGGATGTATTGTAGCTATAATGAGTTTGTTTTCGATATGTGTAGCCGAGTTTAAGAGCCACATTTATAAGCGCGAGGCGGACGGTTGGCGAACGGCTAATTAACGTGTGAATACTGTGACTGTGTATATGTGAAGCTCTGTGCTGGGTTCCTCACTCCCCGGCGTGTTTGTATTTCAGTTTTTGAGATATCTTGACATGTTATGAATGATTGTTAATGTTTGACTGAAATCATACATGAGCAGTTAGGTGTTCAGCTTGTGTTCAAAGCATTATAAGTTGAGTAGTGGTCCCTATGTGTATTATGTTTCATGGTTTTGGCTCTAAAGTCATTTAAATACTCATCCTAAGCTAAAGAGGGTTTGTGATCCACATTATTACATGAATATGGAGTTTATGTTTTTGAGTTACGGTAGTTGAAGCCATATAGTTAGCAGGAGTATTCAGTAACAAGACAGTGGGCACGCAGTCACATTGGAGGTTTTCCAGCTATATATGCAGTAACTGTAGCCTGTCACAGAAGAACACTTACTGCTGGGAATTATTCAGCTGTTCATGTCATTCCACTTTGTTTAATCTACTGTTCTGGTTGTAGACACCTGTGATTGACACAGCTCTGAGTCGGAGCATGTGCAGGTACCTGGTTAGTGTTACCACTAGCAGGGGTGCAGGGGGAGTTACTGTTACTGTTTCAGCACATGACCTATATTTAACCCAGTGAAGGGGATTTTCTTCTTAAAGACATATTCCCATGGTGGACTGCTTCACCGTAGTAGACATCATCAATGAAAAGGTAGAACTTCAATTTGGAACAGTCTTCAGAAACAGAAATAGAATCTGTATTTTGTAGAATTAGATGTTAAAGTAATTGGTCCAACAGCCAGTGAAACTTACCCACTCTCTGACTCCACTCCCCTCTTTCTCCATTCCCCACTCTATTTCTGTCCCTCGCTGAGTCAGATGGACATCTCCCAACTTAGAATGACACAAACAGGCAGAGCAGCCTTTTCCAATTCACAGGGACTGAAAAATCCGGACGACACTGAAAAAGAATTGACAACTTAAAAGCAGAGAATTGGAGCATAAAGTATCAGGATGGAGGAATATGAGAATCTGGATCCAGAGGTGAATTTGTTTCTGCCTATAGTAATGGACCCGACAGCTGGAGCTATATTGGACAAATGATGATGATTAATGATTAATTGGTTGTCATTTGATATTGGGTGTCATCTGCTCTCCAGCACATTCAAGGAACTGTCAGTGTTCGCCATTCTGTCATATTTTACATCTAATTTATCATGTTCCCTACTGGCTGCCTTAGCCACTCTTAGCATGTCATAAATAGTAGAAGAAAACAGATATACTGGTCGAATTGGAGACGGCCCAGCCTCTTGTCACTAATATTACATGAATGACGTTTTAGGACGTCACCTCTCAGTAACCCTGCAATTAACAAGAAGCTCATAGTGCTTCTGAACGCTCTGTTGTTTAGCTCCTTACTCATGTTGGCGCAAGATGCTGGGGATTTATTTGACAAGTGACCTTCCTGAAAATGTGAATTAGATTTGCTTTTTAGGACGAATGTTGCTTGGCTTTGTTTCACTGTTTTTTTCATCTTGTATTTCCTCTTCCAAAAGGATCTTTTCCTGCAGTCAATTTTTCAAGTCAAGCATTTCTTCTTCTAGGACGTGAGAATCACCTGTGTTCTTCTAACCTAATCCCATTCCTCTTCTCTTCAGTTTGCGAGAAGCTGTCCAGGACCAGTCAGTTAAGCCTAAACTCTAGTGCCTGATGGTGGACCCATCATTCTCCATGGTCACTGTCCAGAGCGAGGACAGTGGTATATATAGTAGCCTCCAGCTGCTGCTCCACTCCCTGGGCCTCTGAAACCAGCTCCATCTCTGAAACCTACAGCATGGAGGGTTCTGGAGCCGCAGGGAAGATCACCATAGTCTTGTACGAGGACAAAGTGATCCGTAGGATGACCAGGTCTGGAGGAAGAATCAGTAGGTTGAGCCACAGGCTGAGTCGACCTGGAAGCTCAAGATCTGCTTTGGCTCTGGGCGTGGAGAGACCAGAAATGGCAGAAGTCTCACTTCCCAATATAAAAGAGGAGAAAAAGGAAACAGAGCCAGACCTGGAGGAAATACAAAAACAAAGACCAACAGTTGTGCAGTTTGATTTCAGAGGGTTATGAGATTCTCAACATCAGAATGCCTTCCATACTTCCTACTGTGGATGAGGAGGAGAGCACGGAGCTGCAGGACAATCTTACCTATTTGAATGAGACCCCAAATATCAAGTTCCGAAGTCATCATGAGTGGACGCAGCAAAAGAATCATGTTCAAACAGAGGAGGAGGAGGGGGAGACGGCAGACGGTGAAGAGGTGTGTCTAGATATTTCAATCAACATTTTATTTGAATTGATTTCCTCACTGTAATCTTTTCACAGCTCTCAAAGCCGAACTCTTCTCAGCCTTCAGCAGACACTGAGCCTGTCGACACACCCACACAGACAGAGGGCAGCGGTGACTATGACTATTTTGAGAAGTTTACTCTTTTGGATGTTGCAGTTCCAGGAGAACAGGTTACAGATCTCCAGGAGGAGGAGGTACAGCAACTTGGGATAAAACCACAAGCAGAAGAGCAAAAGCCTGCTGAGAACAAGGTCACAGTCAGTCCCTCAGCATCAGACATGTCCTTCATGTACTCTGACCTTTATGAGGACGCTGTTGGCCAGAGGGTGAGGAGCGACGAGGAATTCTCTGAAGCAAAAAGTGTTGCTTCGGAGAAGTCCTATAAGAGACGTTTGTCAGATTCGGAAAATGCAGACGGATACCTGGAGAAGTTCACTTTAAAAGATGAAACTCCAACAGAGGAGGTTAAACTGGGGTCTTTTGATGACAAGAAGGAGAGGAGGATGATATGGTCACAGAGTAGGTTTGAAATGACTGGATGTCTGACAAGGATGGTCAGAGAAGAAGAAGAGCAACAAGAAGAAAAGAAAAAGACAGAAAAACTGGATACAACTAAGATCAGACCAGTGGACACCACTGGAGAAACTAATGAAAAACCTATTGACCTGAGGGAGGATACGGTGGATTATCATCACGTCAGAGACCAGACTGATCCTCCACTCAGCTCTAATGAGCCATTATCTGCCATTCAAGAGGTTGACTTATGGACAACAGAAAAGACTGAGAAGGATCAAACAGGAGAACAAAGAAACATTAGTGAAGACAAGCAGCCATGTCAAATACCAGAAGTGGCAGAAAAAGTCTTTGAAAAAGTGTTTACAAAAGCTGCAGATGAGACATCAGTTGAAACGTCTGTCCACATCGACTTTAAAACGATAGGACAAACAAGGAACGGGGTTCCTGTGGAGAAAAGATCAAGGGAGACCACAGCTGATGAGGAAGTGGTGGCTTCACCAGAACCCACTGCTGTAGTGGAGACTTCACCTGAAAGTGTCATTTCCCAGCAAAAGGACCCTACAGAGATGTTCCATGTGGACGATGCCACCGTTGAGATCGTCAAGATCTGTGATTTTGTGCTACAAGCTGTAGTGGAGGTTAGAGACAAAACAGTGAATGCAAAAGAGATGCAAACCCGAGTGCAGATTGACCTTCAGGAGGTAAAAAGTGTTGAGATACCAGACACTGAAACAGCACAAATGCTAAAGGAATCCCTGACAGTGGACACTGCTCCAGTTGAGCAGCCGTCAGCGGCTGCACACGAGAGTTCAAGAGCAGCAGCTGAAGTTGTGATGCTACAGAAAACAGAGACAGATGTGGACAAGAAATGTCAAGAAATTCCTGAATTCTCGCATCTTAAAACCGAGAAGTCTTCTGAACCCCAAATAACAACTGAGGTCAAAGCTTCAGCACCGACACTGAACAGTGCTACTGCAGTTCTCGACACGGTAGAGGAAGGAGCTGAGTTTATCCTCTTTGTTCCCAGAGGACAGGCTGTGGAGTTGGACATTGAGGTCGGTCAGGACTCAGAAAAGACCACAAATGATGTGGAGGTTGTTTCTGAACCTCTACCTGTAGATACAGTCCAGAACAACTTGGAGAAGGATTTCGTCCAATTTGCGTCACCTGCCCTGCTACAGGAACGTAACACAGAGGAGGAGGAGGAGGAAAAGATGCTGGAGGACTTTACTCCACAGGGGGATTTTTCTGGACTGATGTGTGACGTATCGGAAGATGCAGTCGTAGAACCACTAGTGGAGATCAACAAGGTAGAGGATGCTACAGAAGCAGCGATTACTGAACCAGATGAAGGTCCAGGTATCAACCTTAACAGAGAGGAAGTTGATGCAGACGTAGGACAAAAAATGACAAACAAGGAAGAAGCTGCAACAGAACCAACAGTTTTAGCAGGTAATAATCTGATCAGAGGGAACGTGTTGTCAGAAGATACAGAGGCAGAAGAAACCAGGGAGATACACAAGTCAGAAGGTAAAACAGGACAAGTAATTATTCAAGCAAGTCCAGGTATTAGTCTGAAGAGAGAGGATGCACCGTCAGAGGATGCAGATGTAGAAATACAGGAGAAGGACGAA